ACGAAGCGGATCTCAAAGAATGCCACTTGCTAAAGTAAAATGCCTTTGTAGTAAATCAGATGCTAGTTTTTCTTTTAAGGATCATTTTTGACGATTTTACATCTTCATTTTGCATGTGTACAAGGCTTTCAATTTAGAGGGACGTGGATGATGAAAAATAGGTGACGAAAACAATTAAAGCGCAAAGCGGGCCGGCCGGTGGCTCACGCCGTAAATCCCAGCACTTTGGAGCGACATGGCAGAATCACGGAGTCAGGCAGATCAGACCGCATCTGGATCTTGAAAGGCAGGCCTGAATGCGTGACAATTCCTCAGCATGTTGCTGTTGGAAAGGGATCTTATTTCTTCCTTGATAATGAAACTTAGTTTGGCATAGATGATCTGGGTTGAATGTGTTTCCTTTAAAAATATAGAGTATTGGCACCCCAATCTTTTCCTGACTTGTTAGGAATTTTTGAATGAAAGATCACCTGTTAGGTCTAATGGTCTCCCCTTTGTAGGGTGGACCTGGGCCTTCTCTCTGGTTGTTTGCTTTAACATTTTTTTCCCCTTTCATTTTGACCTGGAAGATCCTGGGACTGTTATGTGTAATCTGAGCGTTGAATACCTTCTGATCTCTCTCTGTGGAGTATTCTTTCTGCCTCTGTCCTCCTGGGTTGTTGGGTTCTTCGTTGATTTGAGAGAGATCGTGTGACTTTGCCAGGGAATAGTTGGTCGGTCGACTCTCTGACCTCGTGATCGCCCATGTCGGCCTCCCAAAGTGCTGGGATTATCAGGCGTGAGCCACCGCGCCCGCCCGCTTTGCGCTTTTAATCTGTTTTCGTCACCTTATTTTTCATTCATCATGATTCGCCCTCTATGAAAGCCTTGTACTACATGCAAAATGAAGATGTATAAATTCGTCAAAATCAGTAGCCTTAAAGAAAAACTACTCTGATTTCTACAAAGGCTTTTCATCTTTAGAGTGGAATTCTTTGAGATCCGCTTTCTTCCTTGACTTTCTTCCTATTTAATTTTACACCACAGCCCAGATGGGAGACACTTGATGGCTGATTTCCTTTGCGCTAGTCTCATTTGTGGTGGACTGTGACGGAGCCCTATCGGCCAATTCGTGCGCCTCTGGCAGCTTGTACTCTGGCTGGTGCCCCGATCGTGTTGCACAGACGCTAATCTTCGTATCATAATAAAGCAGTGAAGCTCGCCTCCTTTTGAAGATGACTATGCCACGCTGGACATATATAGTGTGGATTTATTTCAGGCAAGATATCCTCTCCTCCCCACAGATTCTACGCTCATAATTCATCCAAAGCCAGCTTCTTGGTTTTCAGTGAACTCATAGACTGTCTGTGACTTTAGCCGCTCTCGCCTGTCAGCTCCTGTTCGCTGGAGCTGCGAATATGCGTTCGATTTCTCTCCGGCACTCTCACCGCAGGCTCCTCCTTGGTCTTTAACAGTTGCGCATAGTGTTATGTGTATTCCTCCCTGTCGCCTCAGATCTCGTCCATGTATGTTGTCTGGGGTTTTTCTGTACTTAGGTCCGTCAACTGGCTGCTCTGTCACTCGCCTAGCGGCGTAATTTCTGTGATGTTTTGTAAAGAGCATCCAGTGGTGGTTATCGCTACGTTTTGCACTGGTGTTCTAACTCCTGATGCCTTCAACTAATCCACCCCGCCTCGGCCTCCAAAGGTGCTGGGATTACAGACGTTGGTCTCCACTGTACCCGGCCCTCTCTGAAAATCTATTTTATAAGTGGAAAAAGAACATTAACCTCTCCCATCATTTCTTCAGTTTCGTCTTCTTTTATCATTTCTTTGCGAAATAATGTAGAATTGTGTTTTTTAGGTAAATATTGCAGATTTTCAAGAGAATCAGTGGGTGACTTGTTTCCAGGAGTCTGCTGAAGCTTCCTTGGACAAAAACTGGGATTACAAAAGTGAGCCACTGTGCCCGGCCTTAAACTGTTTTCTTAAACTGCTATTATTGCCCAGTTGAAAACAAAACAAAACAAAATAAAAACCTTAAGGCTGGGTGCAGTGGCTCAGGCTTGTAATCCCAGCACTTTGGGAGGCTGAAGTGGGAGGATGACTTGAGGCCAGGAATTTGAGACCAGCCTGAACAGCAGACCGAGATCCTGTCTCTACAATAAAATAATTTTAAAAATCAGCTGGGTGTGGTGGTGCACCCCTGTAGTCGCAGCTACTTGGGAGGCCAAGGTGGAAGGATTGCTTAAGCTCAGGAGGTTGGGGCCACAGTGAGCTGTGATGATGCCACTGCACTCTATTCTGGGCAACAGAGTGAGACCTCTGTTTTTTTTTTTTTAAATGTAAAAATCCAACTCGACAACTTTTTTTTTTAACATTTTTAAAACAGAAAGAAACAATTCTTAAAATGCAAAGAAGCAACAATCTCACATCAGCACACCGTCAGGTTCCTCTGAAGTCAGCGATACTAAAGCTAGAGAATAGATTAGCCACACGAAAATAACTCAATACAGGCACTGGCTGTGTAAGCACAATCACTGCTGTCTAAAAATGCCATTTCAAATTAATCTATCTTCACAGCAGTTATTAGCAGACACGTGTCACTGACGTTATGATTGTATGACATACATGAAAGACTGAAATCAGCTGGGGGATCTCAACGCCACTTTCCGGCGTGAAAAAGAGAAAGAATAAGCTCTTCCACACCTACTCACCTGCAGGCTTCCTACCAGGAATGCCTTTGTTTCTACTGTTGTGACCACAGTGCCTGGCACACGGGATGGCCTCAATGAACACAACCGTGGTTCTCATCTACCAAGGCTACTTACTGACAGGATCATGCGGTACTTGAAATTGGGAAATTCCGTGTCGCACTTCTCACAGCGGTACAATCCGTTCTGTTGATCAATCACTTTCTTATTGCAGTCCTGAGTCGGGCAGGCTTGGTACATGCAGTTCTCTTTGCGAAGATATACCACTGTGGCCACAGAACTGAAGTAGTCCGGCTTCGGGAGAAAAGAATGGCGTGAGGCACAGAGCAGCGAGCCCACTCGGGATCAGACTGAGAGGCAGTTCAAAGCTTGCCCTTACGTTTAGGTGGTAAGTGTTTATATATTCCAATCCTCAAGATCACAAATGATCACAGGGAATAATTCATTCTGTAGTTTTAGAAATCACATGTGCCAAGTACAAAACCCATGAAAGTAATAAGCCAAGTTCTAATAAGCCAAGTTCTAAGGCATATAATTCCTTAACAATAAAAGAGTTAATTCTAAACTAGACTGAGTTAATCAAAAGTGAAATTGTTTCCTCTTTGCTTGAAGACTGTATGAAAGACAAAGATTTGTTTCTCCTGATCCTGTGATCCTCCAAAGGCCACAGATCTAGGAAATACAGAATGCGGACCACGCAAATCCAGCGCAGCAACGATCAGTCATTCCTCCCATGTTAAAAACACGACAGTCATTTCTAGGCCTAGATTCACCTTTTCCTTGTTTAGGCCAGGGATCAGCAAGCTGCTTCTGTAAAAGGCCGAATGGTAAATATTTCAGGCCTCAGCAGCCGTTTGGTCATACTCTCTGCTGCAACTATAGGCGCACCTCACTTTACTGTGCTTTGCTTTACTGCACGTGACAGACAGGGCATTTTTCACAGATTGAACACTTGTGGCGCCCCTGGGTCAAGTAAATGCACAATTTTCCCAATAGCAGGTACCCACTTTATGTCTCTCTGTCACATTTTGGTAATTCTTACAAGATTTCAAACTTTTTCATTGTGTGTGTGTGTGTGTGTGTGTGTGTGTGTATATACACACACACACATATATATGTATATATATATACACACACACATATATATATTTATTTATTTTTATTTATTTATTTATTTATTTATTTTTGAGACAGAGCCTCGCTCTGTCGCCCAGGCTGGGGTGCAATGAGTGGCGTGATCTCGGCTCACTGCAAGCTCGCCTCCCAGGTTCAAGTGATTCTTCTGCCTCAGCCACCCAAGTAGCTGGGACTATAGGCATGCACTACCATACCTGGCTAATTTTTGTATTTTTAGTAGAGATGGGGTTTTGCCATGTTGGCCAGGCTGGTCTCTAACTCCAAACCTCAAGTGATTCACCCACCCTGGCCTCCCAAAGTGCTAGGATTATAGCAGTAAGCCACCATGCCTGGTTCTTTTTTCATTATTATTATATCTGTTATGGTGGGTTTCTGTTTGTTTGAGACAGAGTCTTGCTCTGTCACCAGGCTAGAGTGCAGTGGCACGATCTCAGCTCACTGCAACCTCCGCCTTCCAGGGTCAAGCGATTCTCCTGCCTCAGCCTCCCGAGTAGCTGGGACTACAGGCATGTGTCACCACGCCTGGCTAATTTTTGTATTTTTATTTTTTATTTTTTTATTTTTTTATTTTTTTTGAGATGGAGTCTTGCTCTGTCGCCCAGGCTGGAGTGCAGTGGCGCCATCTCGGCTCACTGCAAGCTCCGCCTCCCGCGTTCAGGCTATTCTCCTGCCTCAGCCTCCCCAGTAGCTGGGACTACAGGCGCCCGCCACCACGCCCAGCTAATTTTTTTTTTGGTATTTTTAGTAGAGACGGGGTTTCACCATGTTAGCCAGGATGGTCTCGATTTCCTGACCTCGTGATCTGCCCATCTCGGCCTCCCAAAGTGCTGGGATTACGGGCGTGAGACACCGTGCCTGGCCTATGGTGATCTTTAACAGCACTATTGTAGTTGTTTTGGGGTGCCACTAACTGCACCCACATAAGATGGGGAACTTATATTGATAAATGTTGTATGTATGCTGACTGATCCTCCAATTAACTATTCCTGTCTCTCTCCTTTGAACACATAAAGAAGAAAGCAAACAGTCTTATTGCTGATATGGAGAAAGTGGTAGTGGTCTGGATAGAAGATCAAGCCACAACATTCTCTTAAGCCAAAGCCTAATCCAGAGCAAGGCCTTGCCTTTCTTCAATTCTATGAAGGCTGAGAGGTGAGAAAGCTGTAGAAGAGGCCAGGTGCGGTGGCTCACGCCTGTAATCCCAGCACTTTGGGAGGCAGAGGTGAGAGGACTACCTAAGCCCAGGAGTTCGATACCAGCCAGGCAACATAGTGAGACCCAGTCTCTACAAAAAACTGTCAGGGCATGGTGGTGTGCACCTGTAGTCCCAGCTACTCCGGACGCTGAGGTGAGCCGTGATTGTGCCACTGCACTCCAGCCTGGGTGACAAAGTGAGACTCTGTCTCAAAAAAAAAAACAAAACAAAAAGCCGCAGAAGAAAAGATGGAAGCTAGCAGATGTTGGTTCATGAGGTTTAAGGAAAGAAGTCGTCTCCATAACAAAAGTGGAAAGTGAAGCAGCAAGTGCTGATGGAGAAGCTGCAACAAGTTCTCCAGAAGATCCAGCTAAGACCATCAATGAAGGTGGCTGCACTCAACAGCCGAGTTCAGTGGAGACAGAACAGTCTTCCGGAAGAAGATGCCATCAAGAACATTCATCCTAGACAGTAGAAATCAATGCCTGGCTTCAAAGCTTCAAAGGACAGGCTGACTCTCCTGTTAGGCGCCCATGCAGCTGGGGACTGTAAGGTAAAGCCAGGGCGCGCTGACCATGTCAAAAATCCTAGGGCTCATAAGAACTATGCTGAATCTACTTTGCCTCTGCTTTATAAATAGAACCTCAAAGCCTGGATGACAGCATATCTATTTATAGTGTGGTTTATTGACTGTTTTAAGCCCACTGTTGAGACCTACTGCTCAGAAAAAGAGATTCCTTTAAAAATACGACTGCTCATTGACAATGCACCTGTTCACCCGAGGGCTCAACGGAGACACACAGTAAAGGAGATTAATACTGTTTTCATGCTTGATAACAACGTCTATTCTGCAGCCCATGCAGATCAAGGAGTAACTTTGACTTTTTAAGTCTAAGAGACACATTTCACGAGGCAATAGCCGCCAGAGTGATTCCTCTGATGGATCTGGGGAAAGTAAATTGAAAATCTGAAAAGGATTCACCATTCTAGATGCTATTAAGAACAGTTGGCTGGGCACAGTGGCTCACGTCTGTAACCCCTGGCATTTTGGGAGGCTGAGGCAGGGAGATCCCTTGAACCCAGGAGTTTGAGAGCAGCCTGGGCAACATGGCAAAATGCCGTCTCTACAAAAAACACAATTAGCCAGGTGTGGTAGCACCTGTAGTCCCAGCTTGGGAGCCTGGGAGGTGGAGACTGCAGTGAGCTGTCATCAAGCCACTGCACTCCGGCCTGAGTGACAGAATGAGACCCTGTCTCAAATTTAAAAAAAAAAAAAAGGAACATTCATGATTCATGGGAGGAGGCCAAAATCCCAACATCGACAGGAGTTAGAACAAGTTGATTCCCACCCTTATGGTTGACACTAAGGCTTTGGTGGAGGAGGGACCTGCAGATGTGATGAAAACAACAAGAGAACTAGAATCAGAAGTGGGGCCTGAAAATGGGCCTGAACTGCTGTAATCTCAGGATCAAACCTGAACGGATGAGGAGCTGCTCCTTACGACGGGCAAGGAAAGTAGTTTCTCGAGATGAAATCTCTTCTGGTGAGGATGCTATGAGCATTGTTGAAAGGACAACAAAGGATTTAGAATTCACAAATCCTTTTGCGATGGTTGATAAAGCAGTGACAGGACCTGAGAGGGACAGACTCCAATTTGAAAAAGTTCTACTGTGGGTAAAATGCTGACAAACAGCATCACCTGCTACGGAGAAATCTTTTGTGAAAGGAAGAGTCAACCAACCTGGCAAACTTCACTGCTGTCTTATTTTAAGAAACTGACAAAGACACCCTGATGTTCAGCAACCATCGCCGTGATCAGCCACCCATTCACACTGAAACAAACCCCCACCAACGAGAAGATGACGACTTGCCGAAGGCTCAGATGATTGTCAGCATTTTTTAGCAAGTAAGTTTTTGTTTTTAAGAGAAGGGGTCTCCCACGTTGCTCAGTAGAACTCCTGGGCTCCTGCGATCCACTTGCCTCAGCCTCCCGGGTGGCTGGGATTACAGAGAACCGAAAGACTGGGTGTCCCATGACAGGACGACAAGGATCTGTCCAGTGTTTGATTCTCGAGATGTTCTATAAGAGCACTGTAAGAGCTGCTGTTGACAATGATGGATGAGGGTGTACAGTGAAATGAGAGTAGGAAGGAAACCTACACTGTATATGACGAAAATAAAAGAGAGGCATTGCTATTTTAGGAGCATAAAGGAGAAATAAATGATCTAAACACTGAACTGCCAGCAGAATACAGGTTTAGATCAAGATGGGAGGAGGGTCATTAAATACAAACACTGAAAGGAAAGCTGCAACTAAAAGTCAAATATCAGGGCCAATCCTTGTCAGGGAATGCCGGCAGCTCTCAGCCTACGAGGTTAATACAGTGTCTTCTACAGCCAGGAACAGCACCTGTGAAACTGCCTCATGTTTGACACTGAGCCGGACTAATGCTCATCTCAAAAAACATCTTTTTGATATGTGGGAACTTTAATTTGCAGGAAGGAACACAGAAAAGACACATGGACCCGAAGGCAGCTGATACGATACCACAAAGTTCGACTGTCACCCCTGCTCCAAGATCCCTCTCGGAATTGACTTAGCTTAAGAGTTCTTCAGACTCTCCTGCCTCCAGTCCCCTGAGGGTTAACACACACTCCCATGAGCCCACCTGGCTACTTCCCTTGCCAGGGAATCTCAACCCCCACGTCACGCTCGGGTCACAGCCCCAGGTAAGAATTACAGCTCTGACAGCTGGTGTCGGAAGTCAGGTTCCTAAATCTATCCTCCTGCACACTTTGCAGGCCTCTGTGAAGGTGGTTAGGAATGCCGGGTACCTTGTCGCCTTGGCCCAGGTTCTCAGATTTGACCTCGTACAAGGTTTTCCAGTTCGTGTTGCCCCCTCCAACTCCGCCGCTCTTCAGATCAGAGATGGAAACACCGTCTAAGGCCTGTCCTTCTGCGTCAAACCTGAGAACGGGAACAAACAGCGGATGACGAGTCCTCGGTATGTATGATATGCTTCTCAACACGCGACTTGTTGTTATACGCCAGACACAGGTTTCCCACCACCCGCCCAGCTTCCACACAGGTCACGGTCACCTCGGCTGAAGTCAGTATCTTCGTAATTCTATCTTTTTGTAAATATTTAAATTAAACAACAAAAAAAAATGGTGTCAGCGTTTCACTCTGTCAGCCAGGCTGGAGTGCAATGATACAGTCACGGTTCAAGGCAGCTCTGACCTCCTGAGCTCAAGGGATCCTCCCACCTTAGCCCCGCTAAGTAACCGGGACTATCATGCCCAGGCCCATTAAAATTTTTTTTTTTTTTTTTTTTTTTAGAGATAGGGTCTTGTTATGTTGACCAGGCTGAGCTCAAACTCCTGGACTCAGGCAATCCTCCTCCCTTGGCCTCCCAAAGTGCTGGGATTTCAGGGCGTGAGGCACTGCTCCTGGCCCAAAGTCTACTGAAGAAAGGGAATGACCTCTCTTTGAATCCCAGTTGCTTTGATGCCCCCCAGTGGTGAAGAGAATCACTGCCGAAGTACCGAAGAATCCTTTCTTAAACTAGCCTTGCCTATCAGCAGTGGCCGGACCACCCCAGGCCCAAAATCAGAAACCAGGAAAGTCAACAACCAGTAAGCTATAAGGCGGCCGTCTGCGCTAGTCCTTTAGGCTACTAACGCTCATTCTCAGCCAGCAGCTGCATTCTGATCTTCCCCGAAATGCATCAGTATGAAGAGGGACAGTCAATATACCGTGATAGCAAAAGGGTTTCCATGAAAGGCCTCCTATGCCTGATACAGAAGCCAAAAGTGTTTTTTTTGTTTTGAGACAGAGTCTTGCTTTGTCACCCAGGATGGAGGGTAGTGGTACTAACTTGGCTCGCTGCAACTTCCACCTCCTGCCAAGTGCTTCTCATGCCTCAGCCTCCCGAGTTAGCTGGGACTACAGGCACGTGCCACCACGCCTGGCTGATTTTTGTGTTTTTTGTAGAGACAAGGTTTCACCATGTTGGCCAGGCTGGTCTTGAACTCCTGGCCTCAAACAATTGCCCACCTTGGCCTCCCAAAGTGCTGGGATTACAGGCGTGAGCCACCGTGCCTGGTCCAAAAGATTTTATAAACCAGAGCAACTAATCAGAAGGCATTATCTTTTTTCTTGTAGATTTACTTTCTTAGTGAAATTTTACTTTTGCTAATACTAAAGTTAAATTAATTTGTATTAAATTATGAAAATTGATTGTACTTCTTGATCATACATCAACTGATATGAAGAAAAAGGGGCCAAGGAGAAAGTGCTCAGGATCACAGCTGCAGCAGAGAGGAGCCGGCCTGAGATGAAACGCATATGCCGAACACCATCCCACGGTGGGTAACCGCACAAAGAACAGGCTCCCGAAACAGAGACCATCGAACAGAATGGATGGTGCCCTAAGCTGCAGCCAACTGCCTTCTCCTGTCAGGTCAGCGGCTAAATCCCTCACAGGGGCACAGCAAGGCCCATAAATCTGTTTCACCACTACCAGCTACACAAGTTTACGGTTTTGAAAGCTCCAAGGACACATTTGCCACCAAAGACCACTCGTCAGGAGTGGTGACTAGCACGAGCAAGGAGAGAGGTGGCCCTTCTTACAGTAAAAACTCTACATTGTTATGGCCAAGATCTAAACATCTCTAATGCTTGTCCAGATAGCGTGTGTGCACTGAACTTGTCTTTGATCAATGCCAAGTTATTTTATTCTGGGGACAGCCGTGCTTTTTATGTTGACTAGGATCATGGTTATTGGCAAGTAAAATATGAAGACCTTAATGTGGGAATGCAATTAACCTGGAGTGGAGCTTCAGAGCGCGAAAGAAAATTAAGCAACAAGAACAAACCAAATCTGTGGCTAGTTCTGGTCAGACTATGGACGGACCCTGCAGTGCAGTAGACACGTGTGGCCCACAGTGCTCGTGCGGATGGCTTAGTGACTGAACATTCCAGAAGATGGCTCAGGAAACTGGTCAGACACCAGTGCCATTGGTTCAAATGAGTCAAAACAAAGGAGGAGTATGTAAAATGAGCTCATTCTTTAGTTGCTTAAATCCTAAGACACAGCTGGAAACCGACGCACGTCCCCCGTGACTACAGCTACAGGAATTACTGAAGCTCGGGCTGGCGGAGTGTTTCCCCTGCCCGCATCAATCCTTGCATCCCGTGTTTCGGTTTGAAGCACTCTTTTCAGACAGAGTTTGAATGTCCTGAAAAGCTAGATACAGTGAGGAGATTTTAACAGGCTCTCCTCATCCCTTGAGTGCTTTGGGAATAGCAATCTAATCCTAACAAAAAGCCCATTGTTCTCACCACACTTGATCAGAGTCCAGTGAATACACACTAGAAGATGTGACTGGCACCAAAGACTTGACAGAGAAAGAAAGCGTGGGTTCCCCCCACACCACCGAGGCCCAGAGCTGAAGCCCTGGAAAGAAAGGCGCCCTCAGCACACCGCACAGCTGCTGAAGCCTGGCCGTCCCCTCCTGTGGCAGGATCGAGGTCAGCAGGCAGCACTCACATTCTAATTGCCTCCTCCGACTCTAGGTTTGTCCTGGGATGACAGGTTTGTCAGTTTAAGGACTTTAAAGCCCTCCTCTCGGAAGGCATAACGCCTCCCAGAAACACAGGAGCTGCACCGCTCAGTAACGAGGCCTTCTGCTTGGCAGAGCTCACATACTGACTGTAACCAGCTTTTCTCAAAGCCCAGCCTCAAGTAACCCTTTGTTTAGCCCCACAAAACTTACCAACCACGGAGCTTATAGGCCTCTGGGATGTCAGGATTCGCAATGATAGTGCTTGAAGACAGCACAGAGAGGCTCCGTCCACCGAAATCAGAGACTCTGGCTCCTTTGATGGCCAACACGGGCTGTCTAGAACCATCAAATTTATCAGCCTGTAAAAGAAACACCAGACACAGACAAGTGTCACTAGCAGGAAGAACACAGACGATTTTTGTTTTGTTTTGTTTTGTTTTGTTTTTGAGACGGAGTCTCGCTGTGTTGCCCAGGCTGGAGTGCAGTGGCCGGATCTCAGCTCACTGCAAGCTCCGAACACAGACGGTTTTTATAGAAAACAAGGCAAACAGTCAATAGTAGAGTGAATGTAATCAGTGTACATGGAATCTATACAAGACAGACCTCACACATGAGAATCTGCTCAGAGACACATCGAAACTATCACCGCTTTCCTCGAGTCGGGGGAAAGAGCGTTTCCCCACGTAAAGCTTGAATCACAGCAAATCTCACGGAAGATAAAGGATTTCAAGTATTTGCCAGACAGCACAACCCTTCCCATCTACACGGTGAAAGCTCCCAACTCATAGGACAAAATTGCCCCCACGAGGAGCTCCTCCTGTGTGTGCTGACCACCCCATCCTACAGGACAAGACCGCCTCTCCCCCAGGAGCTCCTCCTGTGTGTGCTGACCGCCCCATCCTACAGGACAAGACCGCCTCCCTGCCAGGAGCTCCTCCTGTGTGCGCTGACCGCCCCATCCTACAGGACAAGACCGCCTCCCCGCCAGGAGCTCCTCCTGTGTGCACTGACCGCCCCATCCTACAGGACAAGACCGCCTCCCCGCCAGGAGCTCCTCCTGTGTGCACTGACCGCCCCATCCTACAGGACAAGACCGCCTCTCCCCCAGGAGCTCCTCCTGTGTGCGCTGACCGCCCCATCCTATAGGACAAGACCGCCTCTCCCCCAGGAGCTCCTCCT